TCTTTGAGACCGTACACACGGCAGGGCAGACAAGCACTGACTTCACTGGTATCCAACCACCTTCCTTTTCCTCTGATGCAACTACAAAACTTCCTATTAATGCCTGAAGTTTACAAAAGTGAAAATTTATAGAATATCATAAATTTTCCCTCAAATATTGTGGTCCTTTGACTTCACATATTGTGAACATATTTACTTCAACCCCTTAAAAATTATAAGAAAAAAGGGAAAAGTGATTTACAGAAATTAACAGCACATCCAGTATACTAATCTTAACTTCTAAATGATCTACATTTCTAAAAATGCAAAATGAAAAAAAAAGAAAAAAAAAACAATGTTTACATCACATTCAATTACTTGGGGTAGGGGGCATCCATTACATTATAATATATCACATGACAAATATCAGACATTTACATTCCATTACATGGATGATAATGTTCAGGATAACTGGTTATTAAAATTTGATTTACTTGTTAAAGCAAGATTCAATTATCATCTTTATTTTAAAATATGTTAAAGAAGTATAGCAAAATATTACAAAGACATGGTATAATTCTTAGTGCATTTGATACTGTTTTGTTTCTCGTGTTGCTTACATAAGTATGTTTCTAATATGTGTGAATTGAGAGCAGAGGCAGGAGCTTCCAGAACTTTGCTTCAGGCCAGCTGAAAGCTTATCACCAGCACCTCCAGATTTTGCCTACTTGGTGCAGATGTTATGATATGCATGTTGAATTGCAGCATTGATAAGACATTTCACAAATTGAAAGTCAAATGTTTTAACTGAGAGTAACTTTATAAAAACTGGCAGATCAATGACTCCTAATACACTGTTTGTATTGGGAGTCTTATGAAATATTTTTTTGTAGTTAGATTACAACAGTGTATATCTCTTAAGCCACTGATTATATCAGTGGAAATTATTCAACAGTCAAGATGGGCAAAGTGATTGAAATCCGTATGTGAAAGAGAATGAGCAGTTGAAGGCCTCTGTGACGTCCTCTGGGAAGTAACAATTGGCCAACCTTAAGTTTTGGTGATTCTTCATGGATGCTCCCAGCCCTGACAAGCATGAGACTAGTGGTTTTTGGCCCCACAAGGCCACTAATACTTATCCTTCAGAAGACTCCAAACAACAAGGTGAGGGAGGAGGGAGGAGGGAGGAGGGAAGAGGACTGCAGAAGCAAGGTCGATTTAATTGTTTCATATCAAGTCAATCTTCACAACAAGAATGACAGAGAGTAGGAAGAGGAACAGAACCTGTCAAAGATTCCTACAGACACCACTTAGTTCCTCACCATGATCCTGAACAAAGAGTATTCACAAATTCCTCTGACCATGCATAAACTCTTTAACTTTTCTTGTGAACTATAAAAAAAAATAAAAATAAATATAAAAATTAATATTACATTCACTGTCCTAAGTCAGAGTTACTCCTATGCATAATTTCACCTAAAAAAAACTATACAACTTTTCTCTTTCTTACAAAAACAAAATGCAATACTTTTCTGACTGTGACCTTTGGCTAATATATCATTCTGACCTTACAGGAAGACAGGCAAGGGATGAGGCAAGGGATGTTGATAACTCATTCACTGCCTTTCATCAGCTTCAAATTTTCCTTCTTCTCAGTTGTACAAAGTCCCTCTTTAATGTACTGTCTTAATCCAATATATTCTGATAAAATCAGAAGCCTCTAACAGCCATCTAAATTGTAAAGCAAATCTGAATAATACAAAATGGTTCCCTAAAAGAAACCCTGCTGGTGCATTAATTCTTCTCTTTTAGCATCTGATCCCTTAAATACCTTTCAGAAAATGTTATTCTCAGGCTAAACTAACAAGAAATTTGAAATTCTATAGTCTGCAAACAGTAAACTCTTCTTAACCATAAAAAAACAGAAAAGTAGCTTTCAACAGAATGTTTTAAGTATATCAAAAGTTCAATTAAAAAATGAAACCAGCTCATAAACAAAATGTTGTGGGTTTTAAACAAACCCATTCCCTTGTTATTTCCTATTGTTGCCTCATTTGACTGTAATGGAATCTTAGCTAAGAATTACACAGAGTGAAAATGCTGAACAGCATAAAAAAAATAAATGTCTTGAATGTTAAATTTCCAGAAAAAATCAAAATCCTTCCAAATAATAAAAGTAATACTTCAAAATATTGATTTATATATCAATAGTCAGAATAAAAGGCAAAGAAGAAAGACATCTTCAAACTTTACAATTCAGTATATATATAAACAGAAAAAAAAACATCTACCTGAATTCTGAAATACAGACAGTTCAAGATGAGCATAAGAAAGGTCCTTGCATTCCCTTTGAAACTCGTGTCACACTGAACTCTTACTAACTATCCTTGCTATTCATGCTTAAGGTCCCAGCTAAAAAACATTTATTTATTGAAAATTTTGTATCATTTTAATTTATCACATGGTGATGTTCACATACTCTATGCCGATCCTTGCATGATGATATCTAATACTGAAAAAC